AAAGATTCTACGGTGGTTCTGACAGACTTCAAATAATGTAGGAACTTTCTTTCTTTCATGTCCTGTATAATTAATACTTAGCCTGCTGGACTGCATTTAGGTTACCTATGCTCTGATTATGTGTAGCTTTACTCTAAACATCTCCACTCGCACTTATTTACTTGTCTAGTGTGAATTAACTAATTGGTTTTTAATTACTCACATTTTCATATCACTGTCACTTCCGCACTGCGCACATGGCTACGTTACCCTTACATGACGGCCATCACGCCTTGATTTAGGTCGGGGTGTGTCAAATTAAAAAAATAAATAAAAAAAAATTGTACCAAAAAATTAATTATTAAAAAAACACTATTAAAATGACAAAAATGCCCTTGCCTTATTTGATGCATTTTTTTTGGGATGCCTTTGAAGTTTTTTGTCCAAATTTTTTTGTTCAAACTTGGTGACACCAAAATCACTGTTCACATTTTCCATTGGCTTTATATATAGATAAATGATGTGGAAGGTATTTTTTGAATCACATTATTATCCGCGTGCGAAATACCTTTTTTATAACCAACATTACACGCCTCTTAAGATGTTTTGAACGTATTTAAAAATAGAGAAAATAATATTTAATAAACAACTGATTGAATCACATTATTGCTAGCCCATTGTGTGACTAAGCCCACCCCCTCCCCCTTGGTGTAGATAATATTGTTTGTTAAAAAAGAAACAATCATTTGACAACTTATTTAATCACATTATTATCCACGTGCAAAAGATCTTTTTTATAACTGGCATTACATGTCTCTTAAGATGTTTTGAACATGTTTAAAAATAGAGAAATTGAATCACATTATTGCTTGCCTTTTGTGAGATACTAATTATAAAAATAAAAAATAAAAAATTGTACCAAAAAATTAACTATTAAAAAAATAATGTGATTAAATTAGTTGTCAAACGATTTTTTTTTTAACAAACAATATTATCTACACTAAGGAGGAAGGGGTGGGCTTACCCTCACAATGCGCTAGCAGTAATGTGATTCAATCAATTGCTTATTAAATATTATTTTCTCTATTCTTAATGTAAATTCTATAGAGACCAATTTTGTTATGTGAATTCAGTTGCTTTAATTAGTTTATGAGGGGTTTCTTCCAGCATAATCTAAGATTATTCATTTACTTCAAATATTTGACTTTTCTTTTGTCAATTTACGCATATAAATACGTTTAAAACGTGTAAATATTCAAAAAATGCCTTCTGCACACGCGTGAACGCGTGCATGAAGGCTAGTTTGATGTAAACGGATATAACATTTAGATATAATTCCAACGTAGCCTTCCTTTGCATTAACGGAGGCAAAATTGTCAACATTTATCTTTAAAATCATATCAAAGGAGATTAAATATTACATGATGCCCAATGTTTATTTTACTTCATCACTTGTATTGATTTGTATTTCGCATGCGGATACTAATGTAAAATGTATTTTTTGAATCACAACGTGCTACACATGACTTACACGTTTTAAATGTATTTATATGCGTAAATTGATAAAAAAAAAAGTCAAATATTTTAATTAGTTTATGTCTAAAGAACGATGCATAAGGCAGATATTCATGTCCCATGCTGTTGATCGTGGAGGCAGAAGACACGGCGTGCTACGCACGACTTAAATATTTTAAGTGTATTTATATGCATAAATTAACAAAAAGAAAATCAAATATTTTAATTAGTTTATGTCTAAAGAACGATGCATAAGGTAGATATTCATGTCCCATGCTGTTGATCGTGGAGGCAGAAGACACAAAGGACCCAATTATGGTGAAAAAGTGTTGAGGGTCAGGCTGGTCAACTCAAGAACTCCTAAATGGCTGATAAAATAAGTTTCATGTAATCAGATTTGGATATGGTACGAAAATAATAGGACCAAAATCGTGCCACCTGTCCACTAGGTAGGCCAAATGCAATCACAAACCAGACTGGTCAATACCCTAAACCTAAATTCCTAGTAAAAAGTACCAAGTACAGTGTACTTACGTTTGAGGTTTTGAGTGTCGGAAAAGGATCCTCGATGGATCATTTTTCCTCAGAATTCTGTGATTGTAATCGTTTATTGTATATCGTACAATCAGTTTTTAATTACTATTTATATTTAATTTTAAATTTTAAATAACTTATAACCCCATGATGTAAGATGAACAGTTATGATCAAGAGATTTCCGGAATCCCCAAAAAAAAGATCCGGCGAAGATCCTTTTCCTTGAGCGTCTTGACTCTTGTCCCCTAGTTATAAAGCCAAATGTAATCACAACCCTAAATTCCCAACTATATATCATTAGCATGAACTTCTCTAAGTTCCACGTGTATTATGAGGCAATCAAGGAAACAATATCCAACGTAAGGCAGATGACTCACTCCTAGAACCCAATCTTTAATCTAAAGTCTCCAACGCTCCCACGCTCGATTTAAATGTAAACCCAATCCATAATTTGGGTATTCGACCTACCTATCATTTGTACTTTTCTTTATCAGTCATGTACTATCTTTATTATTTTTTTCATTATGCAATATTCCATGATAGTCATAACTGTTTACTTTTAACGTTATACTACAATACTTCATGAAAGAAAACAATAACATGGATTCTAAAGAGACCGATTTTATTATGTGAATTCAGCTGCTTTAATTAGCTTATGAGGAGTTTCTTCTAGCATGATCTAAGATTATTCATTTACTTCAAATATTTGACTTTCATTTTGTCAATTTAGGCATATAAATACATTTAAAACGTGTAAGTCACGGGTAGCACGCCATGTTTCAAAAAATACCTTATGCGCGTGAGTGCGTGTATGAAGGCTAGTTTGATGTAAACGGATATAACATTTTTCATTCAAATTTTAAAATTATTATAATATAATAATTATTGTTAGATATAATTCCAACATAGCCTTCCTCTGCATTAAAGAGCCAGCTTGCAACCCATACAGCCCACACACAATGGCTGGTTTGGTATTGCTGTGCTTTAAAAAAAAATTGTTGTGAGAATAAGCGGCTGTGAAATAAATCAGCAGAGTGTTTGGTAAACTTTTTTGTAAAAGTGTTTTTGGAAGAAAAAAAACAGTCTGATAGTGGGTCTTTTCATTAAAGGAGTACTGTAGCTCTGTGTGCTTTGAAAAAAAACCAGTTTTCCAAAGCTGCAATTAGATGCTTCAACTTTTCCTTGGATTTCAGCTTATTCTCACAGCAGCTTCCAAAATAAGCCCTTTTTTTTTTTTAGTTTACCAAATGCCTAAAATCCTCACAACTTTTATTCATGGGTGCTTTTTTTTTAAGCACCTTACTTCCAAACTACCCCGTAGTCTTTTGGGAAAGATGAGGAGCCATCGTCAACTTCCGTTCAATTCAATATTCACCACATAATCTGATCAAACAATACGTAAAGCTTTGACTTGGACAAAACAAAAAAGACAACAAAAATTTGAATGGAGAGAGTTGATCCAGAAGGAAAATGAGATTTGTTGACCCCTAAACCTAAACCCCAACGTGCTTTTAATTTAAGTTAATAATCTCGTCGTTCTCCTTCTCCAAACGTGAGATAACTGGGTAGCACCAAAAACATGTTACATATTGTAATATCATGTTGGATAATTTGATTTGAAGACCTTTTCCTTGACTGATTGCACCGTCCACATTCCCGCCCACCCCATGCAACGCAAAAGCTGAATAGTAAACTCACATGTAAAAAAGTTTCGATAATTTTTCAAATATTTGAGTGTTCCGGTATATACTTATGGACTTATACTTTCATTTTCATACATGTATACTCGCGTTCTTCATAGAATTGTACATAATTCTTTTTTTCTTTTTCGAATACTATATATTCATCAGATAAATTTCATGATTTAAACTGTTCAATTCTTAATCTTTAGATCATTGAGTAATTCAAATGTATGAACATATTAATAGTGTGAGTATCAAGTAACATATTCATGATGAACCGTCTATTTACTTAATACATTTGGATGATTAAACGATTTTCCTATTTGAATAATTTTTTAATAGAAATGACCTTCAAATGAAGATTAAAAAAAGGAAAACTAATGAAAAGGGCTTGAAAACTTTGAGTTTTAATGATAAGGACAAAATAAAGGGTAAAGTGAATAGTACTAGGATTGACTTTTTAGTGTAAAAATGTGGTTTTTCGTTAAAGTGAACAGTACCGGGTGCTTTTCGTTAAAGTTCCCTTAAAAAAATGAACGATTTGATTATGACGTTTATACGATAAAAGTACATTATTCATCAAAAGTAAAATATGTGCATTTCCCAATGCGGTGAACGTGAGTATTATTCATCATATAATAACCTAACAATTACTATAAAAGGAAAACTAAAAAAAAACATACTAGTATTTGCTAAAGTACAAATCATCAGTTGTTACATTAATTTCTCTATAAATGCGATTAATTGTATAATTGAGAATAATGATGTATGCTCGATTGTGTTTATAAAAGTTTTGTTACAAAAAATAATTTTCACACTCTGAATATGTTTGTTTAGTTTTCGAGTTGAATAAATTAAATATTTCTACTTTGTTTTTTGTCTACTATAAATAATGATGTCCAATTAGATAATTCTAGGAAGACTAAATTTGTAGATAAAATTTAAAAAAACTAAATGACACGGAAATTGATGATTGATTATTACTTAACTGTTGATAAACGTGTTCATTTTTACTGGCAACACATCTTTAGTCTACAAATTTTGTGTCGCTAGCATTATTCCTTCCAATTAGTTCGGTAAAACTCACTATATTTTTTTATGTTTTTTTTTATTTATTTGGACGCGGTTGGATTTGTTTAAATTCGTTAATATTTCCCAGCTTAAATGATATCACCCGGGAAATTAAGAACAAACACAAAATGGAAGCCTCCTCCTCTCTCTCCGTCAGTCGGTCAAAACTTTCCAGCGCCAAAACAACTTTATATATTGATAAAGAAACGTTAAAATTTGTCTTCTCTGTTTCTAATTTTCTCACACAATCCTTTTCCATAGAATCCTACTAAATCTCTCTCTCTATAAAACTCACATTGCACAGCACTGTGCTCCAAGATTGCTTTGAGCTGTGTCTGTCTCCGGACAACATTGCAAAGATTCTCGAGAAAGTTCAAAACTTTCCCAGAAAATTCAAAGGGTATTTTCATATTTTGCTCACTGTCCAAATAAGTATCAAAGCTTGAATCAGTGGCGGAGAAAAGTGACAATGGAAGGTGGAAAAGGCGTGGGGGAGAAGAAAGGAACAAACGATGTAGTTTTGCAGATTTCGGTCGGCGAAGAGCGCACAAGTTACAACAAAGAAACCAGAGACTTGAATCTTCAGCTGACGGAGCTTCAGTGCCTCAGAGTCTCCGGCTCTTCTTCGCGGTCGGTGTTCTCGAAACCCAAGTCGAGGTTCGTTGAGCCGTTTCCTCAGTTGAAGTCAACTGCTAATTCTTCCAATGTGGCATCGCCAAGCTCCAAAATCGCAGGCACAACACCGAGAGACGCTCTGAGGTCCGCCCCGATAACCCCAAGAGCACCGTTGGTCGACGGCGGCGAGGAGGACGATGATGAGGAGGTTTATAAGACTGCAAAGCTAAAGGTGTGTGCGAAGTCCGGTAAGAAGATAAAAAAGTTGGCATTGATTGAGTTGGTTGCATTTGTTTGCATTGTTGTGTTTTTTATTGCTGGCTTAACTGTACCTACGTTGGAAAATAAGATGTATTTGGGGTTGGAATTGTGGAAATGGTGTGTCTTGGTGTTGGTTGTTTTGTGTGGTAGATTGGTCACAGAATGGTTTATCAATGTTCTGGTTTTCGTGATTGAGTTGAACTTTTTGCTTAAGAAGAATGTTTTGTATTTTGTTTACGGGTTGAAGAGAAGTGTACAGATTTTTATTTGGTTGGGTTTGGTTCTTCTGGCATGGGGTTTGTTGTTCGACAACGGAGTGAAGAGGTCAAGGAAAACCTCTAGGATCCTAGGTTATGTTACACGGGGTCTGGCTTCGTGCCTAATTGGAGCGGCCATATGGCTGGTGAAGAATTTGTTTGTCAAAGTAGTAGCTTCTTCATTCCAATGCAATAGATTCTTTGATCGGATTCAAGAATCAATCTTTCATCAGTATGTTCTCCGCACCCTTTCCGGGCCTCCACTGATGGAAATGGCAGAAAGTGTCGGGAGGGCCCCAAGCAGCGGTCGGTTGAGTTTCAAAAATTTGAAGGGAGGGAAAAAGGAGGGGAATGAAGGGGCCAAAGAGGAGGTGATTGATGTAGAAAAGCTCAAAAAGATGAACCAAGAGAAAATTTCTGCTTGGACCTTGAAAGGGTTGATTAATGTAGTAAGGAGTTCGGGGTTATCTACCATCTCCAACACACTTGAGAGTCTTGACGATGAGGAGAGTGAGCAGAAAGGTAAGGAGATTACTAGTGAGTGGGAAGCAAAGGCTGCGGCTTATGATATTTTCCTGAATGTCACCAAGCGTAGCAACAAGTAAGAATTTCATTTTTTATTTTTCAAAACGTTCATCCAAACCTTTTGATGACTTCTTTATCTTTAATTTCTCACTATTTTTAATGGTAATGGACTAGGTACATTGAGGAAGATGACCTCTTGCGCTTCATGAAAAAGGAGGAGGTCGACATTGTTTTACCTCTGTTTGAAGGGGCAGCGGAAACTGGCAAGATCAAGAGAAAAGCTTTGAAGAACTGGCTGGTAAATTCTAATTGGTTCTTTTTTTATCTGAAACTTTTTATTCTTGGATGCTATGCACCCATCTGCGCAAAAGTTGCAGGTTGAGTTTACATGACACTTATGCACTGAGAAATCTACAATGTATAATGCTACCTCAAACTACACTTTGCATACTTCTCGTGATATCCCGCTGTCACACGTAGTTATAAGTCTTCAAAACTACCATTGATAGGATCTTAATTCTGTATGTTGTAACCGTTGGATTTCAATTTTCAAGTCTTTTTCAGCCAGCAACATTCGATTTAAAATGAAGGGCTCTTAACATTATTATTGTTTTCAGGTGAATGTTTACCTTGAGCGCAAATCACTGGCGCATTCCTTAAATGACACTAAAACAGCAATTGAGGAGCTGAATAGGCTTGCCTCAGGGTTTTTGCTTCTGGTGATCATTATCGTGTGGCTACTTCTGATGGGATTGTTTACGACAAACATGCTAGTCCTTATAGCATCTCAGCTTTTAATGCTGGCGTTTGTATTTGGTAATACTGCAAAAACTGTGTTTGAAGCGATCATATTCGTCTTTGTGATGCACCCTTTTGATGTAGGGGACCGTTGTGTCATTGAAGGAGTACAGGTAACTTCAAAACCCTCATTCTTCAAATAACTTTTTACTTCTACTAAAAGAACTTTACTTGACGTATTGAAACTTGACAGCTTATTGTTGAAGAGATGAACATATTGACAACAGTCTTCTTAAGATCTGACAACGAGAAAGTTTACTATCCAAATTCAGTACTGGCTAGTAAACCCATCAGCAACTTCTATAGGAGCCCGGAGATGGGTAATTCTGTTGATTTTGCTATTGACGTTTCTACAAAGATTGAGACCATTGTGGCTCTAAAAGCCAGAATAAAAGAGTATGTTGACTTCAACTTGTAATACTGCTAGCTAGGATTCTCGATTGGATTCGTATAAAATTCTTCTGTTTGGGTAATTCTGCTATCCTAGTATAACTTTTTATTCATCTGTCTTGCATCTTTTGTTGAAGAAAATTGAATATTTTCAGGTACTTGGACAGCAAGACTCAGCACTGGCGTCCTGCGCATAGCGTGGTGGTTAAGGATATTGAGGACGTTAACAAAATGATAATGGCTCTTTATGTTACACATACCATAAACTTTCAGAACTATGGCGACAAGACCAGTCGGAGATCAGATTTGATCTTTGAGCTGAAGAAAATATTTGAAGATCTTGGTATAAAATATCACCTCCCGCATCAAGAAGTTCATCTCCGCTATGTCGGAGCATCCGCTGCAGAACTTCCACCCACATGGCGGTGATTGTTTCTGTGTATGTTCACTGTTCTAAAAATCCCCACCTAGCGCCGGCTAAGCGGTTAACCACCGTTCCAATTAATGCCTAGGCGTTTGAAAATTAAGAAATGATGCATAGACCTACTGAGGCGCCCGCCTAAACCTGCTAAGGCGCCCACCTAAACCGCCTAGGCACCTGCCTAGCCCGTCCAAACCTGCCTAGACATCCGCCTAGGTTGTGACTCATTTAGACAAAAAATAGATAACTTTCATTTTTCATTTTATTTTTTCAATAAATTGGAAAAGACTTCTTGAATACTTAAAGGAACACACATTATATATTTGTTCCCCATGTTTTTATTATGTTCCAATAACTCATATATATGTCATTCTGTTTTGTAGTTTATGATAAAATCATATATATTTTAAGTATAAACAGACACTTATTTATACGAAATATAATAGATTTAATTAAATCCGCATAGGCGCATGACTAGACTCCGCCTATCTACCTAGGCGCTAGGCCCTAACCTACCGCTCAAGTAGTGCCTAGCGTCTGCTGCAAATATGCATCTTCTGACTCATGTCATTAACTTGAAATTTTCGTCGCATTTGCTATGGGGAGGTGCGAATGAAATTGCCACAAATCTCATCAGAACAAAAATAAAAATGTAGGAAACGCTGAGATACTGAGATTTACGATAGCTGGTGGAGACACGATGATGTACTTTTAGAAATGTTTATACAAATTTTGAATGTATTTATGTTAATTGTAAAATTGATTAATTTCAATGCATGAACTCAGAGTTTTCTTCCTCTCTACCCTTTTCAATTCCTTTGATGAGAAGCAATATGTACATTGAGGACTGAGTTTCAATATTAAAACATGAGATTAAAGTGATCAGTTGTTGCGTTTAGCTTATAACTGAGCATGATGTTAAAGTATTGACCAAGTTGAAACAAGAGCTAAAGTGGTTTAGTGTTGATGAATAAGTTGAGAGCGTGAGTGATTTATATCACCTTTTATTGGTGTCAGATTAAAAGCATGCCTAAGCTCTCGGATTTTGTAGAGCACACTCCACCCTTAATAGGCTAGTAGCAAATGAAAAATGAACAACCTCAAAAACAATACAGCTTATACTTTCCGGTCAATAATTTAGAGCCATTCCCCTATATTCTGCTTCTGCTAATGACCTTGCCACCACATTGTGTTTCTTACTTCTCCAGGTAATCAGATTATCAGCTATGAACGTAAAATATCCTGATGTAGGCCATCTATCAGTAAAATAAGCAGCCCAATCTGCATCAGTATATCCTACCACCTCCATATGTCCATGCTTGTTGTACATAAGACCTTTTCCCAGAGCTCCCTCCCTTTAAATAACTCAAGATCGGCATTACCACTGACATTTGATCCTCACTTGGTGCATGCATAAACTGACTCACCACACTTACCACATAAGCAATGTCTGGCCTAGTGAGTGACAAATAAATCAATTTTCCCACTAACCTTTGATACCTCTCCTTATTTATTGGGACTTGATCTTGATAGATTGCAGGATGAAGATTCTGCACAATTGGAGTATCCACCGATTTACATGCCAACCAACATACCAGTTTCAGATAGCAAATCCAACATGTATTTTCGTTGTGACAAGTATATCTCTTCTCAAGACCTAGCAACTTCAATACCTAAAAAAATACTTTTTAAGTCCCTCTAGCTCTTTCATTTTAAACTTTTTCCAGTGTCCATATGTTGAACAATTGCACAGTATTTCAGCGAGAGTTGATGAGTGGAGACATATTTTGCAATAGAGCTCTTTTGGAGAGTACCTGTCTGACAATTTTCCTCAATTCTTTAAGGTAACACATAAAGTGATTTACTAATTTATGGGTGAGCACTTACCTTAAAATATCCGTTAAATCATTGACAGGTGCTGAAGGAGTGTGAGGGGGATTGTCATTTGAGCCCATTTGGACAGGCTGCAGGTGGAGGGAGAAGCCCACGAGGGCTGGCAGCATCAGACGGCCCACTTTCCGTGGTCTCAATCAGGAGGCCGACCACTTGGGGCTGTCTCAATTCAGCGTGCCCACTGTCTTCCACATGCACAAGAGGCCCACTTTACGACGTATCAATTTCTGACAAATGTGTTTTTGTTTTTGTTTTTTTTTTTGAAAGACCTTAATATTTGGCGGGTGAGAACAAACACGATGGAAGTCTCTTCTTCTCCGAGAGTTCTCTCCCCTCTGTCAGTCGGAGTCGGTCAATATTTTCCAGCGCCAAAACAACTCTACACATTCATAAAGTCAGGATTTGTCTTCTGGATTTACCTTTCTATTTTTCTCAGACCCTTTTTGCATAAAATCCTACTAAATCTCTCTTCCTCTCTCTAAAACTCACATTGCACAGCACCGTGCTGCAAAATTGTTTCAAGCTCTCTCTCTCTGGGGGCAACATTGCAAAGATTCTCGAGAATGTTCAAAACTTTCCCGGAAAATTCAAAGGGTAATTCCATGTTTTGCTCACTGTCCAAACGAGTATCTAAAGCTTGAATCTTCTCCTACAGTAGTGAAAATGGAAGGCGGAAAAGGCGTGGGGGAGAAGAAAGGAGCAAAGGATGTCGTTTGGCGGATTCGGTCGGCGAAGAGCACACAAGTTACAACAACGAAATCAGAGACTTGAATCTTGAGCTGACGGAGCTTCAGAGCCTCAGAGTCTCCGACTCTGCTGCGCCAGAAATCCCAAGGATGAGTCATACGCTGCCGCAGGGGAAGCCACCCAAAATCCCAACCGAGCCCGCTTCCCTGCGAGCTCCGCTTTCGCGGTCGGCGTTCTCGAAGCCCAAGCCGGTTGTTCCTGGTGAACAGAAGGTGACTAACGAAATTCCCCACTTGAAGTCAACTGCTACATTCCCCCAACGTGGCATCGCCAAGCTCCAAAATCGCAGGCACAACACCGAGAGACGCTCTGAGGTCCGCCCCGATAACCCCACGAACACCGTTGATCGACGGCGGCTCGGAGGACGATGATGAGGAGGTTTATAAGACTGCAAAGCTTAAGGTGCTTGAGAAGTCCGGTAAGAAGATGAAAAAGTTGGCATTAATTGAGTTGATTGCATTTGTTTGCATTGTTGTGTTTTTGATTGCTTGCTTAACTGCTCTTAAGTTGAAAAAAAAGATGTATTGGGGGTTGGAATTGTGGAAATGGTGTGTCTTGGTGTTGGTTGTTTTGTGTGGTAGATTGGTCACAGAATGGTTTATCAATGTTCTGGTTTTCGTGATTGAGTTCAACCTTTTGCTTAAGAAGAATGTTTTGTATTTTGTTTACGGGTTGAAGAGAAGTGTACAGATTTTTATTTGGTTGGGTTTGGTTCTTCTGGCTTGGAGTTTGTTGTTTGACCGCGGAGTGAAGAGGTCTAGAAAAACCTGTAGGATCCTAGGTTATGTTGCACAAGGTCTGGCTTCGTGCCTAATTGGAGCGGCCATAGGGCTGGTGAAGAATTTGTCTGTCAAAGTAGTAGCTTCTTCATTCCAATGCAATAGATTCTTTGATCGCATTCAAGAATCGATATTTCATCAGTATGTTCTCCGCACCCTTTCGGGGCCTCCACTGATGGAAATGGCAGAAAGAGTTGGGAGGATCCCAAGTAGCGGTCAGTTGAGTTTCAAACATTTGAAGGGAGGGAAAAAGGAGGGGAAGGAAGGGGCCAAAGAGCAGGTGATTGATGTAGAAAAGCCCAAAAAGATGAACCAGAAGAAAATTTCTGCCTGGACCCTGAAAGTGCTGGTTAATGTAGTAAGGAGATCGGGATTATCTACCATCTCCAACACACTTGATAGTCTTGATGATGAGGAGAGTGAGCAGAAAGGTAAGGAGATTACTAGTGAGTGGGAAGCAAAGGTTGTGGCTTATGATATTTTCCTGAATGTCACCAAGCGTAGCAACAAGTAAGAATTTCATTTTTTATTTTGCGAAAAGTTCAGCCGAACTTTTTGATGACTTATTTATCTTTAATTTCTCACTATTTTCATGGTTAAATGGACTAGGTACATTGAGGAAGATGACCTCTTGCGCTTCATGAAAAAGGAGGAGGTCGACATTGTTTTACCTCTCTTTGACGGGGTAGCAGAAACTGGCAAGATCAAGAGAAAAGCTTTGAAGAACTTGCTGGTAAATTCTAATTGTTTTGTTTTATCTGAAATTTTTTATTCTTTCATTCTATGCACATCTGCGCAAAAGTTGCATTTTGAATTTACCTGACACTTCTGCACTGAAAAAGCTACAATGTATAAGCTACCACAAACTACACTTTGCATACTTCTTGTGATATGCCGCTGTCACACATATAAGTCTTCAAAACTACCGTTGATAGGATCTTAATTCTACATGTTGTAACCGTTGGATTTCAATTTTCAAGTCTTTTTCAGCAACATTCGATTTAAAATGAAGGGCTCCTAACATTATTGTTGTTTTCAGGTGAATGTTTACCTTGAAAGCAAATCACTGGCACGTTCCTTAAATGACATTAAAACAGCAATAGAGAAGCTGAATAGGCTTGCCTCAGGAGTTTTGCTTCTGGTGATCATTACCGTGTGGCTACTTCTAATGGGATTTTTTACGACAAACATACTGGTTTTTATATATTTCAGATTTTACTAGTGGTGTTTGTATTTGGTAATACTGCTAAAACCGTGTTTGAAGCGATCATATTCGTCTTTGTGATGCACCCTTTTGATGTAGGGGACCGTTGTGTTGTTGAGGGAGAACGGGAAACTTTGAAATCCTCTTTCTTCAGTTAACTTTTTACTTCTACTAAAACAACTTTACTTGACATATTGAAACCTGACAGCTTATTGTTGAAGAGATGAACATATTGACGACGGTCTTCTTAAGATCTGACAACGAGAAAGTTTTCTATCCAAATTCAGTACTGGCTAGTAAACCCATCAGCAACTTCTACTACGGTTGAGACTACTGTGGCTCTGAAAGCCAGAATAAATGAGTATGTTGGCTTCAACTTGTTCTACTTCTCAATTATTTATTGGATTCAAATTGCATCTATATATAGAGGCTCTCTCTGCTAACAAAATCAACTTATAAAGGCATGTTGCGTTGTCTGCGGAATTTAGCTAATTATTTGAACCAGGTGGCGCTATTGCTCGCATTATCATGACATGCAATATTAGAGTCTAGGGTCCTTGGAACAGATAGAGTTTAAAAGCTGCTAGCTAGGATTCTCAATTGGATTCGTCGATAAAAATGTTCTGTTTGGGTGATTCTGGTATCCTAGTATAACTTTTTATTCGTCTGTTTTGCATCTTTTGGTGGTTATATAGCTTCTTTTTTTCGTTTTGCTTCTCTTTTGGTACGGGATCTGTT